ATAAGCAAATAAATGCTAAGTATGATGCCCGAAATGTTTAATTATATGCTAAAATGCTCGGTTCTATCTGATCAGTTAATATGGACTTGTTTGACTCGAAAAAATACTAAAAGGGCGCGGACGGGCACGGCCAGAGGCTGCTGGCACGGCCCTGGCACGACTGGTGCCACTCGGGTGCAGCTGGGCACTACCGAGGCTTGCTGGGCGAGCTGGCACGGCTGGCACGGCATAGGCACGGGACAAATGCGGGCTGAGGCTATGCAGGCGCTGGCCGGTGTCCCTGAGGGTGCTGAGCACTCAGGCGTGCTGCTGGGTACGTCCCGAGGCCGACTGGACTCAGCAGACCCATCTCGGGTCGGCACTGGACATGGCACAAGGCTCTGGAGCGAGACCTCGTTGGTGCTGGGACTAGCACGGCGCTGTCGGGCGCCGTGTATGTGGCCTGGGCACGTTGGTGCTGTAGCCATGCGTGCTGGCACTACTGGAGACTTACTCCGCAGGGCACGAGCGACTAGCTCGCGACCATGCGTGCATGAATGTTGGACAGCGCTGTCGGGCGCTATCGGAGGTTGCTGGGCGCGACTGGCGCCGAGACCTCGCACGCGGACGCAGACAGACACTGTTGGGCGCTGTCGCATGCAGTGGGGCTGCGGTACCTCGCGCCTGCTGGGCGCGGACACGGACAGGCACGGGGTCGGGAACTACCGCGCTGCATGCGCGACCAGTGACCATGGCCGGCCCTTGCCGGCCTTCCGGCGACTTTTTCCGGTGACATGCAACATATATCATCTCAATATGATAAAATAGCCACAAAAATGTTAAGAAGCACTAGTAGACCCCGGGTCTATATGCATGTTGCTCGGTAGGGCCTAAATGGCACGTACGAGCACTAACTCACCGAACCTACTATAAATTCTTAAACATATGAATGTGGCCGAGTGTTTAGCAACTTAAAACAAGGCTAATGAGGCTGAAAAGATAACTTAAACTCGCATGCAACAAACTTGGGCTCGGGAGTGAAAATTCACATAAAATCATGAACTAGTTGACCGAACAAACGAACTCCAAACATGCTCAAATTTATACACCATCAATATCATGATATATAAGGAGGATTAAACTAGCAATCTCAGTCTAAGCATGCATGCAACTAAAAATCCGATTTTAAGGCCTTTAATTAATAAAATTCGGAACTCATGATAAAACACGTGCATTGTTTTATTTCTCTTCATGAAAAATCCTAAAATATCATTAAATAGCTGAGAAAAAAGAATGGCTCGAGCTAACCTTCACCGAAATTGGAAAATGGCTACTAGGGCCTTTAGTAGGGCTAGACTCGGCTTAACGGGTTATGGCTTGGCTCGGGGTGGATTGGCTGAGCTTTGATGGACTCAAATGACTTATTAAATTCCAAGAAACACTTGGATAATGATAAGTCCTAAGGGAACTCGGCTGGAACACGAGATGGCTTGGTCCTCCTCTCCTCTTCCTTCTTGCGCGCGGGTGTAAGGCTTTAGGGGTTGATCTCGGTTTTCCTTGCTCCCTCTCAATATGTGCGAGTGTTTAAGTGTCCAAGAGCTCCCAAAGGCTGAGTAAATGAGCCTTAAATATGCTGAGGGGCGGAGCTAACAAGGCTGGTCAAAGGGGGACAATTTAAGTGGTCTTTCACCACTCCACATGCATGGAAACTTGAGGCTGGTCTTGGGACTTGACTTGGGAGGACTTAGCACGTTTTTAGGTGGTCTTATAGGTGGTTTTGCAGAGTATTAGGGTCTGGTGGACTGGTTTGGTCGGGTAGGTGCATGAGTGGGGGACAAAGATTCCACTAGCTCATTAAAATATTCATGCACATGCACCCAATTTGGGTAAGGACTAATATACTATTCTTAATACTTGCTTAGGGCCATCTTAGCTCCAAATGACTCTCATTAAGTCCTTAATACACGCAGGTTTTGGGTGAAAATGGGCCGGAACTTAGTCATTTGGGCTCAAGAAGGTGGGCTGTCGTGAGCTGGCGCTGGCCCTGGGCGCGGCCTGTTGGGCGGCACGGGCTGGGCACGGCCTGCTGAGCTGAGCGCGGGTCTTCGTGGGCTGCTCGCGTGCATGATGCTTGGGCCGAGTATAATGCATCTTTTTGTGATCCAAGGACTTAGAAAAATGTCAAGGATGATCCAAACACTTAACCAAGCATTTGGCATGGCTCGGGTCGGACCTTGAGCGCGGGAAGGCTCGGGGCGGCCTTGGCGCGAGCGGCTCGGTGCATTGGCTAGGGCTCGAGGATAAGGTTCAGGGATTGACTATGAAACACCCCAACACTTAGAAAAATATTCTAAGTATTGTACTACTATGCACTGGGTATGACTTGGAAAATTTATTCAGATCGAGACTAGGGTTCGAGGCCAAATAAATTCTCTAGTCGAATAGCTATAACTTATCACCCAAAATTAATGGATTGGTCTACACTTAAACATGATATAGAAAATTCCAAAGAATGATCTATCATACTTAGGAAATAATTGAGCATTAGCATATTAAATCATAACTTAGAATTTCTGAAAATTACGGATTTTACTTATAGTCGAGCAGTGAAACTGTTATATTATTATTACTGATCGGGGCGTTACATACACCCATATGTACAATATTATGTACCTATAGCATTTCTCTTCGCATAATCCTTTTCACTTTCTAATGTGAATATGCGACAGGTATGCGACTAATAAGCGACAATTATGTTGCGCAAATTGAACCTCAACCGGATTTGAACCGCCTTCTGCTAGTTTTGAACCGCCTTGGTGCTTCCGGTGACCTGCAATACGCCGGGAGGGGTCTCGGCTAAAAACACTCCGATGCTCAAGTCAGTTCAACGCCAAGAAATTATATGTCGAGAAAACAAATTTGCGCGTGTATGTGTATTGTGTAAAAAGAATGAACATGTGTCCTTTTATAGTTGGGGTTACACATAAGTCGAAGACTTCTTGTTGGACAAGAAGTCTTTTTGGTATCTACCTCTCAACTAGGTCAAATATTTTCGAATCTTCAGACTCCTTGATGTTGCAAACCTCCTCATGACTTGATTACAGAATTACCCCCATACCCTGGGCTCCTAAGAAAAACCTTCGGCCGAGGTCGTCGTCATCTCCCAAGTTGCCGAGAAGGACGAGCTATGGAGAATGTACCACCCGAGTTCCATCTCCACACCGCGAGTGTCCGTGCCAAGCCACAGGGGACGTACTCGCCAAGCTCCACCTTCATACCGCGAGCGCTCGCGGTGAGCCATGGAGGAGCTTGGCCTATGCCCAGCCTTCCGCAAACTATTATTTATGGACGTATCAAATTATATAACTCTCATGTCGGGGGTGTAAAAGAAATTGGCCCCAAACTTTTTCTCCTACTTTGTGCTACTTTTGGGAGTTTTGGTATAACAATTTCTTTTGATGAGTTCTCCTTATCCTATATATATCTCTATATATATACTCTTACTCTAATAGTTACTTCAATAATAAGATAAATGTTGTACTATTTTTTATTTTAGTTTATGTTTTTTTGGTTTTATAACTTGTTAAGATCAATGTATTTCAACTTCTTGTCTACCCATTTATCTATGTCAACTGTAACTTGTGTTGATGGTCGGTTTTGCCGACAAGATTACAAAGAGATAATATGCTATATCGAGGATTATGGTTTGTATTTGAAAAAGATGGAAAAGGAAATTAAGACAATAAGACAAATGACGAATTAGGTACTTGCGTTAATACACTTATACTTAGATTAGTTAAGTTGGATCACTTTTGGATCTCTTACTGCATATGCCTATTGAAGGCAATTCGTCTAATAGGTATTTTATGTGCTGTTTTCTCACTACTTTTCGTGATACTTCCACGCGGAGTTGATATTTATATAAGGGGGAGGAGCAATAAATAAGGGAAAAAAGTTTTTAACCTCCCAAAGTATGCTCTTTTTTTAACTTTGCCATATAAACTTTTTTTTTTTTTTGACTTTGACAATTTGCCTCCCAATATAATCGTAACTGACAGTTTGTCTCCTCGATTGAAAACCCTAATATGGTATAAAAGAGTTTTTAACTCAATTAATGATGAATTTTAAAATTAATCTTTAAAATTGATTTAGGGCTTGTAAAGCCCATGGCGAGACGAACAAAATGAGGTATGATTTGTCGATTTCTGAAAATTGATACCTCTAAAATCGGTCCACGAAGATAACAGGAGCACGTGTGTATAGAAAAAATTTCAATTCAAGTTTTCTAATAATCAAGATATCCGATTTTCGATTGAGATGTGTCATTTGAAAGCTTGAAGGACGAGTTTTCTATCGATGTAAATCTTATGAAAATCCAACGGTCGGATTTTGGTTAGTAGCCTAAAAAAAAGCTAACTATTGATCAATAGTTTTTTAAATACTGATCAAAATCCGACCGTTGGATTTTCATAAGATTTACGTGTTAGAAAAATTGGTCCTACTAGCTTTCAAATGACACCTCCCAATCGAAAATTGGATATTCTGATTGTCAGAAAACTTGAATTGAAACTTTTTTATATACACACGTGCTCCTACTATCTTCGTGGACCGATTATAGAGGTATCAATTTTCAGAATTCGACATATTATACCTCATTTTGTTCGTCTCGTCATGGGTTTTAAAAGCCCTAAATCAATTTTAAAGATTAGTTTAAAATTCATCATTAATTGAGTTAAAAACTCTTTTGTGCCATATTAGGTTTTCAATCGATGAGACAAACTGTCAGTTTCGATTACATTGGGAAGCAAATTGTAAAAAAAAAAACAAAATTTTATATGGCAAAGTAAAAAAAACGACATACTTTGGGAGGTTAAAAAAATTCCCAATAAATAATAGTAACTCCGAGACACGTGGCTGGCTTTCAGGGGTCGTCTACATGCCGTGACATAACTGGCTAACATGGGTGGTGCGCACCTTTTCTGGGGGGCAATACTTTTCATATCGGATCAGCTGAGATTGACATGAAGGAAGCCTTGACCATTGCTTATGTGAGATAACTGCCTCTCTTGCGTCATGATGATGTCGACAAGATGATTTTGCAGTCCGGGGTGAGATTCGCAAAGAGGGTGGCATCACTGTTCTTCAGACGTTCTCTTTTCGATGTGTTTTTGTTGTCCACATGATAGCATTTTAAGTGGCTAATCCATATCTGTAAAAGTTAAGTTGCAAATAGCGAGCAGCGACAGCACCCCGTTTCGTCGAGTAGCATCAGCCCGAGAGTCCCAACGAGCAGCCGCACGATGCGGAGCAGCAGCGGCAGCCCTTTCGGGCCCATGCGAGTATAATGGAAGCCTTTCGAGGCTTTTATCGAGCAGCCGGAGACCTCAAAACAACGGCAAAGTGACTTCCTTTTCAGTGAACAGCCCCGGTTCGTGAGTTTTCGGCCGAGAACTCTCTCCGACTACTCTGAACAGCAGTCGAGAGTCTTTAGCGAGCAGGAGCCAGGTATATTTAAGCTTTGCCGAGTATTTTGTTCGAGAGTAGCCGAGAACCAAGAGCCGAGGGTTTTCTTTTTCGAACCTTCATGCATTTGTTTTCGTTTAATTCCCGAAGGCGGTATACGACTTTACCTTACTTCTTTCATTTATGAGTATTTTTGAAGGATTAATGTGAGTCTTAAGTTCATGGCGATGAGATGCTTAAAATTTTGAGATAATATCATGTTGATCGAGTTATTGATATTGATGTTGAACTCTCGTAAGGACACCATGTTAGCCTCAGAAATTAAATGTTTTGTTGAAATAAAAGGGTCGGGATATTAATTTCAAAATTAAATGATGAGTCGGGATCATATTGCTTGTTCGGAGCCTTGCCGGGTTTTGAAATATATAAATTGAATGCTGCGTTTTTATGATTAAAAGTGGAGTTCTCATGCCTTAGAATATAATTGTTAAAAAGGGGACTTTTATTGATTATAAAGCGAGTCTTTTGTTTCATGTTTAAAACTGGATATTGAACTCCTAAAAATATATTTTGTATTGGTCGTAAGAGGTGTTGTAAAGGTCGAGGTAGTTGTCGGGATAAACCGAAGTTCGGTGTTGGGTCACAACGGTCGGGTGTTACCAAGACTGCTGCCGCGAGCTCGCAGGCGCGCCCGTACACAGGCGGGACGCGCGCTTGCGGTGTACATCGCGTGCCGCGAGGCCCGCATGCCAGCAACATGTGCGACCCCGTGTAGCCAACAGCCCGTCCGTACCTAGGTATCCACCCGCTCAACATTCTCCCCGCGTCCAGTACCAGTGCTAGTAGCAACTGTGGCCCTGCCCGAGGGCACGTGAGCTACCAGTAGCCAAACCGAGTGTAGGGCCGAGACAAGCCGCCACACTAGGTGCACTTGGAGCTACCCGCTGAATGAGTTGAGCCACCGGCTAGATACCGGACTGCACCAGTCGAGCCAGAACCGAGCCAGTGTTAAGCCCGAACACATTTTTATATTATTTTTAGCTATTCAGAGTATCCCGAGCTATTTTTAGCATTTTTATAAAACATCTTGAGACTTAAAATGATTTTTCAAGTCAAGGCTAATATTAGATTTTAAAAGAGTTAATTTTGAGAATTTTTAAAGAGTCTAAGTCGAGAGTTCCAACATCTGAGAAAGAGCAGAAAAGTCTATATAAGTCATGAACCTTGAGGTAGAAATCCTTCAATTGGTAAATTTAATTTACCGAGGCAAAATTAGTTTTATTCGAGTATCGCGTAATTTTATGTAGATTCTAAGGAGTCGAGCCCTCGAGTTTCCACATAAGCGACAACTCATCCTTTTAGTAGAGCCAGTTCATCTAGATGGGGAAGTCTATCTAGTACATCCTTCTGATTCAAGTAGAAGGAAGTAGCATCATAGTAGCTGCACGACCGGGCACAAAGACTTGAAGTTCCAGCATCTTCCCGAGAGCAGGATAACATACGTAAACATTGTGGTACTTTTGTTGGCCGTTATTTGCATGAATTATGTGTTTCTAGTTTTTCAGTTTTTATTTTATAAATAGCTATGTTTGTAATTGTTCTCAAATCAGTCAGGTCATATGCTAGCTAGTACCGTGAGGGGAAGTACTCCGATGGGCTAAGTAGAAAACGAATGCACCTAAGGAGCAGTACCCCGACGGTGGTGAGAATTTAAGATGTGCCTTAGGGGCAGTACTCCTTTGGTTGTCAGAACTTTATTTGAAACCATTATTTGTGTATTATATCTGCTTACAAGGTATCCATTGTTTAGTTCGAATGACCATACTTTATAGACTCCAGGTGAGTACGTTGATTATTATGCTCATCCCCCTCACCATCCTTTCAGGTTAAGCAGCTGGATAGGCGGCACTGGAGGCAGGGCGGTGTGGTCATCAATATATTTTATTATTTCATTATTCAATTGTTATTTCAGACATTGTAGTTTCTTTCAGCATTATTTTTCCCATGTAGAGACATTGGATTTTGAGTTGATCACATATTTGATTTAAGGATTATGAAATTCAGTATTTTGAGACTTATTGCATTTTATTGAGTTATTTCATGTCTCGAGTTGTTTGAGAGTTAAGAGAAAAGGAAAGAGTTAGAGTTTTCAGATTATAAAGAGTGTTTTTGAGTAACGACCCAGAGAAAGAATTTTTAAATTTTTGAAAAATTTAAATTTTCTTGAAAATATTACTATTTTCTTTAAATGATAAGTGGGCGTTACAGTTTTGAAAAATGCATGAGACCCTCTTATATTAACTAGTTGAAGCACGACTCCCCCACCTTTGTTCAACTTAATTGTTTGTGTGGTGCTCCTTCCACTGCTGCAAAAATTATACAATTTTTTATTTTGCAGAATTAGTATTTTACTTTTGTACGCTTCTGAGTTTTATTGAAAAAAAAAAAAGCAAAATGTTGGCAAATAGTGCAGGTTTTAACCCGCACTTAAGATAATTTCATGACTATTTCACCACCACATTAGACAATTACATATTTATAATGTTGAACTAGTACGAATCCCGTGCGATGCACGGGTAAAAAATATTCATTAATATTTATAAATTACAAATGCTCATAAAATAATAATTATAAATTAGAAAATGAAATCAATATATAATACAATTTACCTATACGGTGCAAATAACTTATAATAAGTTACATTATATTCATTTCAAAATATATATATATATACATATATATATATATATATATATATATACATATACACACACTCACACACACCAAATAATTGATATATTCCACGCATATTTACAAAGAAGAATCGATCATAATATTATCCAGATTTTTCTTTCATTAATATCGAGTAAAATGCTTAACAGTATGAAAAAAAAAATATTGAAATACCATTTATTACTGTAAGCGCGTATATTGGATCAATATATAATATATCAAATAATTCGATTTCATACTTTATCGATAAAATACAAAAAATGATATTCAGTTTAATTACGAAATTAATTGCACAAAATACAACACATTTATTATAGATAAAAAAAAGACCCAAAAAATAGTTGTTAAAAAATAATTAAATAGAAAGTACAAATAACACAATTAGTTTAAAATAATTTTATGAGAAATTATAATTAAATAACTCAACCGAATCTACACGATCTACGTAATTAGAGTATCTTAAAAATGTAAATTTTTATGGTCAAATTATTTCCTTAATTATACACGATTTGAGAAATTAAATACACAAAAAATTAATAATATTCATTAAATAATATTTAAATAAAAATTATCATTAACACAATTTTTTGGAAAAGATTTTTGCAAACTGCATAATTAATTACTATTTTCAATATTTCTATAATTGTATTTACAGATTGAATAAATCAGTTAGATTTACACAATTTGCGTAGTTATGGTATATTAAAAATGTATTACACAAAAAATATAAAACACTTATCAAATAATATAAATTATACAATTTAGTTGGAAATTTTTTAACAAATCACATAATTGATATTGTAGCTAAAATTTCCATATTTGGGTAAATAAGTCAATTCACATGATTTGAGTAATTACGGTATCTTAAAAATGAGTTTACCATAAATGATTATTTGAAATATACCATAAATTGTTAAATTTATTTGAGTGATTAATGTATCTTAAAAATATATTTTTATATGGCTTAATCATATCCTTAAATAATGAGCCGCAGTTTCTATAATTGGTTATTTAAAATATACCATAAATTGTTAAATTAATTTCTAAAAATATTAAATACATTTTTTTTTAGAGGAAAATAGTTACTATTTAAAAAATAATCAAATCTTTATATATATATATATATGTATATATAGATATAATTTATCATCAAAATATAATATTATCAAGAACTTTTGACATATTAAAAAATACTGCAGAAGTGTATATTTGTTGTTCAAACAGCTACCATAAATATAATATCGCGTTAGAATTATCCGTTAGACTGATTTATAAATCGTTTGGATTTATAAATCGTTGCAAAATATATAGCTATTTCTCATATACTAGCGCGTAGCCCGTGCGATGTACGGGATGGTATATTTTCCTGAAATGTTTAACGTGTGAAATATGAAAAATAATATAATTTATATATATGTAACAAAAATAAATGGATTGCAAAGAAGGGAAAAAAATATAAATTATTAACACTTTCTTTGTGAAGTAAAATTTGTGAAGCTTTGATATATTTGATTATGAATAGAAAAGTATGAAATACTACCTGCGGACCGTTGAGATAGATGAGAAGATTTACTTAGAATATATAGAATAAATATTGAGATAATGATTTACCTTTTGCCTAATATATATAAAATTAATATTGACATGATGTGGGAAAATTATGACGAATTATGACATAAACTCGTTTAGAAGTTAGTAGAAAATATTAAAAAATTAGATTTATTTTTTATTTTTTAAATCCTTACAGTAATTCGTACGCTCCTTTCCATACGCTTAATTTATCAAGTTTACACATACAAATCAAAATTAATGCAACTCGAAATATTATATAACAAATAAAATGAGATTTTTTTTATCTAACATTTAGTATATTGCCGGAAAATCTTTTATAAATCTTATTCTCTTTTTATGCACATAGATATTAAAGAATGAGTAAAAAAATTATCTAAATATGTTTAAAAGTATCTAATATTATATGTGTTAACAATGTTACAACCAAAAGACATTAAGAATAGATAGACTATTATATAACATATGTGAAAGTATTAAAATATTTTATATTATTATCGAAAAAATGTGAAATTGCCTCAATTTTGTCTAGACTATTTTATAAGAAAAATATATATACTTAACGTTAGCATAGACACACATATATATATCCTTAAAGTTTGCTCAACTAACATGTTTAAAAGTATATACAATTTTATATATAAAAACACGTTTCAAGTTTACATATTTTACAAAAATTAGACTGCTCTCAGTTTATATAAAGTTTGTTGCTCTCGTATTCAGATAGCGTATTATGCATTTAATGAAAGCACCCTACGATACAAATTTATAAATATTAATAAAAATAATTTTCTAAATTATATAAAATTGAAATAACAAAACCTGTTCATCATGAAACAGTATATGGAATGCGTTACAGCTCTCCCGTTCGTGATGGGTTTCAATAATGCGGGGTGCTCTCAGACGCAAAAAAAGTTTATTTCTTTTGTTAACGGAATCAAGTGTACCCCAGCCTGGAAGCATTATATTGTATATGCGATGAAAAGTCTGGAAGCATTATATTGTATATGCGATTAAAAATTATTCTCTGTATTTTTTTTTCTCTGAACTCGTGAATGATGAGTTGTAATGGTGGTAGTGAATATCCTTTTATACAATTTTTTATTAACCAAAAGTGATAAGATAATTATGGATTGTATTTGGATAGATAATAAGTCCCATGATTTTTGCAACGGACAATCAGTTTCATATATTTTTTATTAATCAAAAGTGATAAGATAGTTATGGATTGTATTGGGATAGATAGTAAGTCCCTTGCAACGGACAATCAATTTCACATGCTTAATTAACGGAAATATCACCATTATTAATGAGAATATCCATTTGCTTAATTAACGCAAATTTCATGCTAAATTAACGAAATATCCACTGCCTTTTCACGATTTTTCTTCCGATTTTAAAGTAGAATACATAAATAGAAAGTCAAAAGTCAACTCAATTATTTTTAGGTTTCTAAAAAAAGATTTTTACATCAACCTTTTTAGATATATATAGATGAGCAATATGTATAATAA